CGCATATTATTTAGGTAAAGGTTTGTTGAGTACTTTGGGAGACGAAACTAGGAAACTCTTGAATTAGTACTGTACAGTAAAAATATATGCTGTTTCGTAAATTTTATAATAATTTACAGCGACACTGGTGTACGCCGCTCTACAAGACTATGTGTCGCCGCACACGGGCCTCACGCCACAGCCACAAACGCCGAAGCTAGAAACTAAAGTGGCTGAAGCGCGCGACAGCGGCCGACTACGGTAAGGGAGAGAGGGGTGGGGAATCGCGCGAGTGACGTGTGGCGGCGTTTTGTATCGGCGCATTAAGTGGCCGGTGCGGGCCACAAGAAGCAAGCAATGACGATTTGTAGCTTGTGGCGGCCACCGGCGTACCGTGTGTGGCGGGTCCATATAAAATGTATGAAAACTACAAGAAATATGCCGGTGGCGGCGTTTTGTGGTTGTGATCGGTGGCCCGTGTGCGGAGACACTAAGGCAAACCCCTGCTTTACTACGTATTATTCAACGTATCGAACAACGAAACAACGAAAAAGCATCAAGCTGGCGTCAAGTAGCATAGGGGGTCACAGTTGGTTGAAGATTTCCAGAAATGGCAGTTACATAGAACGCACTGTCAAAAGCGTTGCTTTACATAGAGAGAAAGATGATATTTCTAAAAAATAAAAACTAACTACATTATAAAATATTCCAAAAACTAATAACTAGGATCCGGAATCAGGTCGGAATTCATCAGTGTCCTTCGCTATTCAAGCGAGCTAAATTATAATGAGATAATTTTACCAGTATGAATCTTTATAACGTAGAAATAGCTATTGCAGTTTATATTACATTTTGCTTAAGCTTTAAATTATTTTCTTTAGATTTTTCCATCTAAAGAAAATCTGTTTTTTATATATTTACTAGCTGAGCCAGCGAACTTCGTATCGTGGTAGAAGGGTGAAAATTTAGGGTTGTATGTATTTTTGTATGATGTATCATAAAAAAATTGTCAAAAAAAAAAAAATAAGGGGGGACCACCCTTTACATTTAGGGGGATGAAAAATAGATCATATTCTCAGACCTACTGAATATGCATATAAAATTTCACGAAAATCGTTCGAACCGTTTCGGAGAAGTTCAATTACGCACACCGTGACACGAGAATTTTTAGATTTAATCTCACGTTTCTAGAGTTCCGTATCCAAAGGGAAACGGAAACCTTTTGCTATCACTCTGCCGTCTGTCTGTCTGTCCGTATGACACGTGTCTCTTGATCGTAAAGGGAATGAGTTACAGAACGGAAATTTTGGTATTGCATTTAGAATGTTTGTTCAAAGCGTTAGTTATTTAATTACAAATTCTATAAAATTATTTTCCATGGGTCCCACACATAAGAGAACGATTTTTGTTTTTTACCCCAGCATATAACACTTCAATGTCTATAGCTCGTTGGGTAAGATATAAATTAAAATTTTATTATTTTTTTATTTTCAACAACAAGGTGGGCCGACAACATTGACAGTTTTAAACCATTTTATTTAAACAACAAATACTGAAAACGCCTATTCATAATCTACTTTGTAAGTTGTGACGAAAACAATCAATTTTTCCTTTCGCGGTTTGTTGTACGGAACCAAGCGCAAGTTAGACTCGCGCTTGGACTTACTTATATTTTAAATATTTTTAATCTGTATCGAATAGATTTCCTAACTTTTTTTACGGGCACGATGACGATAAATACTTTACAACATAAACTTCAATACTTAGATGATATTCTAATTCTTTATTAACAAAATTAGCCATTAAAGTGTAACAGACAAGCAGACATCGCGTTCCGTTCCAATGTTTACTTTGAGTTCTGCACACTTAATTATTTTTCTCTTCTATCTTACATTATGTGTCTAGAAGTATTGACTCGCTCCAATTAGTTACTTGTTTATAATTATGAGCTTATTAATGTTACAGTTCTTTTATTCCATAATAAACACTGCATATATATGTATTATGTTTATGCTAATGGTTTCTATCCAGATGTTCCCGTCCATGTCATATGCTTCTGATTGAAACCAGTAATTCATGTTTGATGGTAATTGCCCTAACAATTATGCGCCCACTGACAGTGACCAATACTAATATATAATATATTATTGTATATAAAACATCCATTACAAGCTTATTTATGTACCCTTTGTTAGTAGTCAATTATCGGATTATTGGATTTTGTAATTGCGAATGCACTTTTCACTGAGCTACTACAGATAGATATTTACTTAACTGTGGTATTTTAGAGCTTCACACTATTACTAGCTGCGGAGTTGATTGTTTTAAAAATTAAAATCGTTTTATGTATTTGGTAGGTCAACTGTCTTGTATTGAAGACGGTAGAGAGTTGTGAATAAACACGTGAGACTAGCGGCTAGGAGATCGAAAATGCTTAGGTACTGTGAAATTTATAAGCGAAACAAACTTTTGCAGTGCAAACTGTTGCACAAACAAAAGTTTGGACGATTCTCATTGTCTACGCGGCACAAATCAGCTCAAAACGTTGTAGGTTTGAAGTTGGCACGAAAGTTTGTGTGGATCGGCTATTATGCCGCGGCTACACATTGGTCTTGTATGGATCAATGTATCGTAACGCATCCAATTCGCCACTGTATCGCAAAATACATGCATGCATCTTTTTTGCGACCACGAAACTTGTAAAGAGAAACAAAACGCCAAGATTAAAGTAAAAATTAAAAAAAAAAAACCGTTCATACCTGTTTAACAAGTCTTATAATTTATGCGTGGTGTGTTAAAGCGGAGGCGCTGCGTATACTATCTATTTGAACATTAGCACTCAAAGATGATAACAGGTCTGTATCTAGCAATAGATCTCTGCTGTCCGTCCGTCTGTCAGTGGGCTATTAGAGCCGACTGACAGACGCTCATGAACTATAGTAGGTAGATAATTGGCGTTTTTTCAGAATAATGTATTTAAATGACCATAATAATAAAAAAATAGCAAGTAAATTAGGATAATCAAGTTTTGGTGGGAACCAAACGAACGTCGTTGGGTTTCTCGCCTTTATTAAGAGCTTTTGTTTTAAACTCATAGTCACAAACATTTTAATTAACGTGATTAGCGAGATTGATACCATGTATCCTGTTCTTAGCGAGTCCCCGATATTTCGGTACTGTTGCAAGTGCCATGATCACGGGGTAACAGATTCTCAGTAACTCCGCAATACCATGGACCTTTATTATTGGTCCATGGCAACACTTACGTAAATTTTGGAGCTCTGGCAACACTGTTCAAGTGTAAATATCGCTCTTGATACTTCATTAAATTTGAACCCCAACAAGTGAAAAACAGCATCGCGTAAAGCACTATCTTCTCCGACATTAGCGATATTGCTATCAGCATTGCACCCCGCCGCTCACAAGTAACAAAAAGTCTCCCCAGGAGTAGCAATTTAATGTAAGATACGACTCGGACGAGCAGCTTTTATATTTTATTATCTTTTGCATGCTCTTGTGTTCAATAATCGATATATAGTGCTTGATCGCGTTTGGCGTGAAAGATTTTGCTTACATCTTTAAAAATTATACGATTGCTTTCGACATGCCCCTAAAAAGGAGACCACCAAAAACTACACATCTAAATGCGGAATCTGACGCTAAGCAAAGTTCAGTCCCAGAAAGATACTGAAAAGGAGGGCACCACTGGTATACCACCACTTTCTACTCGTTGTCCGTAAAGACTACGTGCCAAATCGCATCTTGCTCATGTTTCACTTCCACCCGGCGAACATGTAGCTCTTGCGACTCGAACCTGGACAGCCAATGAAGGCAAGTCAGGGGTGCGATCCTGCAGATCTTCTCGGATCCGCTCCGGTAAGCCGGAGATGAGGGTCTTGTTCGACGCTCGGGAGCACTCGGATTACCCGCCACAAAGCTGCCCTGCGGGCTTAATATTACTACTAGTGGGCGCCCGCGACATCGTCGGTGTGCAAATAGTAGTTTCCAGACAAAATTTAAACCCCCGTTTTAACCCTTTAGGGGGTATGTTTTGGAAAATATTTTCTTAGCCCACGCCTACATCTTAAAGCTATATTTGTGCTAAATTTCAGCGCAATCCGTTCAGTGGTTTGAAATGTGTGTTGATAGATTAGTCAGTAACGGTTGCCTTTTATATACAAGTATACAGATTATTATCATATAAAAAAGCAGTTTAATCTTATACAACGATAAGCTACCTTTCGTCGTCCGCCTGCTTTTGCCCACAAGCAGCCACCTTTCTCCTAACAGTTGAGTCTTAAACAACTTGAAGGAAACTACGTTTGATAGAAATTTTGTGGTCTTCATAGAAATCTATCATCATCTATCATAATAAACATAGATAGGTATATAGAATAAACCAGTACAGTACGCACACTGCCGGTACTGTGATAACCTCTGTAATTACTACATGCTACCTAATTTAGCGGGACATGTAGTTGTTATCTTGGGAAGTTGCGTGGTATATGAAATAGATTCATGTTAGAAAATGAATATACGCGTTTTACTTTCTTTCTTCGACCTAGAAATCAAGGAGGAGCTCAATAGTGCAGTAGTTAGCACTTTCGGTCTGCGATAGTGGAAGTTAAGCAACTTTGGCATTAGCCGTCATTGGATGGGTGACCCAATAATTTAATATCCCCAATTATCCCGTGCTTCGGCAGACACGTTAAGCCGTTGGTTCTGGCTATATCTATAGTCGAGAGCAAGCGCTAAACCACTAAAGTGGTGGGTAATGGCCTTTCCATCCTCCCTATTCTCTCTACAGGGAAGGCCTTTGTGAGCTAATTTATTGATGACCTGTTAATGTTTAGTATTCAGGTGGTATTATAATTAAATATTTATAATAAAACTTAATAACCTACTTGATTAAATCTACTTGATTTTTAATTAAATAATGCATATGCAGGTTCACATTGTCCATTTATCAATCTAATAATGTTTTGTTTATATAGATATGGTATTAAAGAGTGTCCATTTACCTGAATATTACACCTATCTCCTCCATTACCCCAGTAAGCATTTGTTCCTGATCCGTCAGCCTGTACCGCAGTTTTTCTGTATTAGTTTTTTTCTCTTCTAACTGCTGTGTCAACTTCTGTATGCATTTTTTCCGTTCCAAATCCTTTTTATCATTCCAGTCGCTTCTATCTTCTATAAATTTAGTCATTATGAACATTGAGGTATTATTTAGAAATATAAAGAAGTATTATTATTTTCGTTACAATACTTATTATTTATGTAAAAACTATAAAATACTATGAATTCTAAAAAAGCAGGGACTTCTTTTGTTACTAGGCAAAGCATTACAATAAGCTTTCATCATCAGCTGATTAATGTCCCCACTGCATGAGGACAGGCCCTTCCTATGGATAGAATAGGGAGACTGGGCCGTAACCCACCACGCGGCCTCAGTGTGGATTGGTGGGTGCGTCAACGTTAAGCATATGCAGCCGGAACGAACGGCTTAATGTGCCTTCCAAAACACGGAAAGCTCGAGATAATAAGACGTTGGTCACCAATCGAAAGACCGACCATTGCGAAAGTAACTTATCATTCACGCAAATGCGCTAATTTCCGGCGCCATCGAACCCCTCAAATATCTGCAATAGGTAATTATAATTTAAAAATATTCCCCATCTGTTGGTCAGTTTGCATGGCGTTCAGTCGCAAAGATAGCTGATGAGGCAAAATAATTCGCTATCACCTTTAAGATTATCACAAGCTCTCCCGTGCTTCGGAAGACACATTAAGCTGTTGGTCTCGGCTGCAGCTGCAGTTGATAGCACTGACCAATACTCACTGGGTTAGCGTGGTGGGTCCTGGCCCGTACTCTCTATTCCAAATGGTGCATTTATAGGCTAATATGACGATAATTTGATATGACTTTACTAATTTGTTAAATAAATTTAGTGGAACTTTTATTAAATATTTCTTAACTGTAAACCCCAATTATCTCTGTCACCAACAATCCCCGTCTCAAAATGCATTATTACTGCAATAATTATGGTTCATGGTGTACTACTACCAGAGGCGATAGCAGTCTGTCTGTCACTATTTTTTAGAACAGCAAGTTAGATTTAAAGCAATCTCAAACATGATTACAAGTGAACGTGACATATTGTGGACATACCCAGTCATATTTTTGTATGAAAAAAATGACGGGTTGCACTCCGGGAGTGCCGGCAGAAGTGAAAACTTGAATATTAACGTTGTGCATTTTTGATATTTTGGAATGGTTAGGGAATAATTTTGCACGAATTGCTTTAATTATCAGTATAAAAGTACTATCATGTATGTGGTAGAATATAATATTTATTTATTGTGCTATCGTACACAAATATGAAAATTTATATTGCATTAAAAAAGTTTATCTCTCAGAAAAATCAACTTACATGAATCATGTTTAAGCGCACTTAGCGACATCTATTGTAAAGAAATCAACTTACATGAATCACATTTAAGCGCACCTAGCGACATCTATTGTAAAAAAAAATGCATTTTCTTCGCAATAAAGCTGCCACGTGGACGTCCTAGATAGAAACTTATTATTATAATACGATACAATAAAATATTACTATGTTTCGGCCAATATATTGAAAATCAACAACCTTTTTCAATTTTATTGTGTGTCATGATGCATTCAGCCCACGTGTTTAACCTGACGCGAGTTTAACATTTTTTACCCATACAAAAAAAAGTGTACAACGCCGCTAAAAAAGTTTTCACTTCAAAAATTAATAAATATTTCCCTTGGTCTCAATGACTTACAGAACGACTTTACTGATTTCATCCATATTAATTTGTTTTTAAGTTTTCTAATACTTTGTAGAAGGGTCTACTTGCCTACTTGCTGTCTAATTGTAGCGAGATTTTTTGCCAGCACCACGTTTTCCGCACAGTACGTGGTCAGAAGTATGTAGATCGAAAAATTACTGTGTTCCACTCTTTCGAAGTTCGCAATTATTTTCTTAAAGTCATCTTCTTTTGCATATTCCTGTGTGATAATAATCACATATATTACTTTTTATTCTATACTTTGCTTGCGAAAAATCGATAAATTATTTTTAAAGGACAGCTAAAAAAGAGGAATTTGTAGTATGCCAGCAAGATGAAGCAAGGACGTAATTCAACATAATTTGTTTTCTGTACAATATTTCATCCCCTATTTTAACCCCTTCAAGTTTTGTTATTTTAGCTATATAAGCTAGTCTTTTTATAGGTTCCCATAATCTATATAATAAAATTCAACAAAATCAGTTCAGCGTTTTAAGCGTAAATGTTTGTGGGTTCCATGTGACGGGTGTTACAGGTCGCACAAATATATAAAAGATAATTAACCCGTGATCTTGAAGGAAAACCTGTATTGTTAGTCTCAAAACACTAACTTTTTACATTGTATTTCCACTATAATTTGACCAAAATTTTAAATATTATACAAAAGTATGAAAGTTCGAGTCAAATAAGGTGTAACGGGCATTAGGTTATTTTGCCTATTGATTCTAGTTAGGTTCGCATAAATGCAAAACTCTGCGTTTTAGATTAAAAAAAACATTTACAGTAATTTCAATTGAATAATATTGAAATAGGTCGTCCGTTACACAAATTTTTAGGAACTTCCGTACTATACATCTAATATTATGCAGAATTTCGAGCGTAATGGGTGTTACATACTTTTTAACCGGTGTTACGTGTGCGAATGGAAACAGTGTTGACGCAAAATATTACAGTATTATGGATACATACAATTTGTTTTTATTTATTGAAGTTATACTTCTTTAGGCGCGTTATGAAAAAATGATGAGAGTGAAATTTTAAGATGCGCGCGCATCACTGTAACACAAAATATTAACAGCATGAAGTTGGTCACTTTAGCGACCAACTTCATGCTGTTACTTTTGTGTTTACCGCACATTAAGAAAATCTACCAACAAAATAGAAATAGAATCTCTATTTAGTGGGTGCTAACGACTGCATTGTGAAGGCCTATCAAAAGTATTTATTAATCTGGAACAACGGAACCAAAGCGCGATTCAGGAGACTACAGCGCCATCTCTTGACCATTGGTGTAGTAGAACCAAAAACCACATCTTTATTTTTTGTAATAAAGTAACAGTTATAGGTATTCATATTTATAATATTTATCCACATGTTTCTAGTTTGTATATTCGGAATACGTGTTTGAGTTTCATACAAGTGCAAATCACATACGTTCTAATAAATTATACTCAGTAGCGATTTTTTGACTATTTTGATTATTTATTTATTTTTTCAAATTAAAACTGAACTTTATTGACTGTGTCCTTTTCCAGACTTTTTATTAATTTATTGTAATTAATTATTTGCATGCAATTAAAAACTAATTTTAAACGATGCCAAAGAAGGATAACTTCTCACACGCACCCATTTTTTTTAAGCATTTGCCTGCTAGATGTTTAAATCTAAAGAAAAGTTTTACTAGAAAGAATCCACGCGGACCAGGCAGCGGACGGGACTCGAACCCTCGCAAATGCTTAAAAATAAATAAAAGCACAACTGTAATTGCTATTTCTTCTTTCAAATGTTTAATACTTGAAAAAGTATTCATTTGACATTGTGTGTTACCTACAATGCGAAGACATGGTGCTGCCTTGCAGCTTAAGACTAGGAAAATTTCGACGCGGCCATCAGGGCCGTGGTAGCATAATTGGTCAGTGCATTCGCCTGGATTGCGATGGGTGCGGGTTCGAGTCCCGTCCGCTGCCTGGTCCGCGTGGATGTTTTCTAGTAAAACTTTTCTACATACAATTTTTTATAGATATTTCTTGTTTTCATTCTTAGATATATAATTAAAATACCTACCGATTTATTTTTCTATCTATTCTATTAGTAAAATATAAGCGCTGAAATCACCCCCCCCCCCCTATTTATAAAAGTTGTATTGTGTAAAATTTAAACAAGAACTTTCAAAAACGATTGCATTACTATGGTTTTCATTGCTAATATACTTGTGTCATTTTCGACCATTTTCAGATACATTACCTGAACTCTACCTTCAGATTCTATAATCAAACTGATCAAAAATATTTTGACTCTTACAACAAATTATTTTCCTTACTTCAAAACTAAGAGATATAATTCCTTAAAACATATGTATATGTGTATAGTTAAATTTTAACGCGGTCAAAGTAACAGGCTGGACTCGAACCTGCTGAAACGAATATGTTTCACATAGACGCAGGTTCGAGTAAGTTAGTTAGTTCGAGAGTTAAGATTTATTTTGTTTTTTTTTACACCTATAACTTGACATAAGGGAACATGAAAATTTATCGTTAAATAATTTGCCCTACTATTAGGAATACGAGGAATAGGGCTTCCTCGGGATCCCACTAGTACGACAAATTAGTAGAACGACGAGGAAACGGGTGGCAATGGTATTTTAATGCTAGATGGCCCTGCACAACTTACATAAATATCATCGAGTATCGTCATATGTGCGGCGTACTGCTGCTGTATTGCCTCTGTTGCTTTCTTTTTCTGATCTTCTTCCCTCTCCTCCTGCTTAGTGTTGATCCTCATCACGCCCTTTCTTGCTAGGAAGTGAAATAGTTTCATTTCGTGGTCGAAAGCTTTTTGATGGTCTCGCATTTCCTTGAATTAATTAACTAACATTATATTTATAACTAGCGACTCAAGTATACATATAATATGGCTTGGAACTGGTAAATAATCAAAATTGGTGTTGGGGGGGTAATATTTCAGTATAGATAATTTGGATTCGTCCTGATATATCTAAAGAATTTTAACTAGGCAGGTAAAAAATTAGGTAGGTATATTACATTTAGCAACAAAACCCTAGCAAATCCTAATAAATACAAAATATGTGAAATATTTGCTACAATATTTTCTACGAACCAAATTGTTATTAAAGTCGACTACATTTTTTAAACATGGTTGAACCGAACTTCATTATTGATAATATTCTCAAGACATCGTATATTATTTTAAATAAAATTAAGTTAAAATAATTTCTCCAGTCTTTCACGTACCCGCAGATATTATAAAATGCTACAGCATGATGGATAGCTATGTTTATTAATACCAAAGTAAAAAACCTGCAACTGTTGCATTTGGTCCATCTTAGCTTTCTCTTGTACCGAGCGCAGTTTCGCACACAACTCGTCCCGCTGGTCGTACGCCAGAGTCGACGATTCAAAGAGATCTGCCAAGAACTTCTTTCCCTTGTTTATGGCAGTCATCATTTTGGACCATGCTTGGTTGAACGCAGCTCTAAAAATCGAGATTACACTTTCTCAAGTGTTGGAACGAAGTTCCTTTTCGAACAGTATGGCGGATGGGGGCTAGGCGAAAAAGTGTAAGATTTTCCGTCACAACCTAGCGAGGCAGCTAGCTAGGCAGCTGGATGCTGCTATAAGCTTTTATAATGCCAATCAATGCATTAAAAATTACACGCACAGTTACTATGGCAATTACATCATAGCTACGGCTATCGCTACGACTGCAGCTTGGGCTACGGTTATGGCTACGTTTATGGCTACGTCAGTGACTACGTCCATGGCTACGGCTATCGATCTTCTTATTTCTAAAGATAAAATATATTCTTCATATCATTGATCAGACAAAATCGTGGGGCGTGTGGTAGCCTTATATTTATTAACGCTTATGGCTACGTTTATACGTAGCCATAAGAGTAACCTAAGCGACAGTTGTAGCGATAGCCGTAGTTATAATGTAATTGCTGTAGCAGCTGTACTTTTAATTTTGAATGCATTGATCAACATTATAATAGCCAATAGTAGCTTTTCATGTCCTTACCAGCTATCCACACCTTATGTGTCTGCTCAAATACTCTACTGTCCAGCCAAATACTTATCATCATTGTTTATGCGTAAATCATAATTTTTATCATATCGCCCATTGTTATCTGCTGGGGCACAGACCTTCCTTATAGATGTAATTGGGCAATGAACCGCAGGGTGCAGTGCGAATTGGAAGGGGCTGACGACTGCAGATGTAGACGGGACCAACTTAACATGCCTTCCGCAGCACGGAGCTCGGATAATATCTTGATCACCCGGCCTTGCCCATTGCGAAAATTGCGTAGTTTTCACAATCGCAGACTGCGCCATCGAGCACCTCAATATTGATCAGTGGTTAATTATGGTCAATTAGCGACATAGACCTGTCCTTCAGCATGTCTTCTATTTCCTCCCTAATCTTGCTGTTCTCCCACTGGATAGCGTTGAAGCGTAACTTGGCCGCTTCTAGCTTGTTCTCCGTGGAGACGAGGCGAGTCTCGCTTTGCTCTTGGCGCAGCAGTATCTGAAGAAAGGCTTATAACTTATGATCGTCAGATCATTGATATACTACTGCTGAGGAATTGGTATGAGTTTTGATAGGGTTTATGAGGACAAAAGGCATATGATTCTTCATGCATAATATCTTGTAGCAAAAACTTAGCTGAATCCTTAAGATTCCTTCATCATTAAGTTTTTTTTTTTATTTATTTATTTAATCATTGATACATATTTTTTTCATATTTTAATACCTTGCCAACCTGTAAACATCAAGTTGTTGGCAAGCCAACGCTCGTTTTCCTTACAGTATCATGTTAAAATAATACTACTGTTATAAACTTACAAATAATATAACTATAAGCTACTGTTAACATATTATGTCTAAGCTATTTTAAAATGACTATCTGTTACAAATACATAATTTACGCAATATTCAAAAGAGTTTTATTATGCTTACAATTTGAAAAAAGAGATTTTGATTTAAATATTTAGTTGCAAAATATCAAGCGGTTCACTGTGAAGATTAACAATGTAATGTGAAAATAATGTTTAAGTCAATTCGTACGTCAATTCGTACAGATACAGCATTTTAATGAAGAAACCAATGAAATGAAACAAATCAAATCGGATATTGTAACAATAAATCATTCAATACCACAAGGGAGTGTTCTCGGCTGTATATTATTTCTGATATATATCAATGACTTACCAAAGGCGACAGAATTTAAGTGCATACTCTTTGCTGATGACATCGAAATCGAAAATAGAATCCACATTAAACTCTATAAACCAATGGCTCAAAAATCACAATTTAGAAATAAACAAAACCAAAACTCACATTATACAGTTCCACCCATACCAAAAACCATCCATAGATCTAAATGAGGCTAAAACTTCACAAAATATAAAAGAAGTATCCAGCGTGCAACTCTTAGGCATAACTAACGATTCACACTTGAACTGGAAGGCCCATGTTGAACAAATTAGGAAAAAAATATCGAAATTTACCTACGCCTTATGCGTGCTAAAAACCAATACTAATATAAAATGTGTTTTATCGGCTTATTATGCGTATGCATACGCATGGTTAAGTTATGGAATTATTCTCTGGGGGCAAAGTACCAATGCACATGATCTGTTTATCTCACAAAAGAAATGCCTGCGTATTATATACAATATACGACCAAGAGAAAGCTGCAGGCCATACTTTATAAATGAGAAATTACTAACCCTCCCATCAATATATATTATGGAATTAGCGATGTTTGTACGCAAATATCAATCATATTATAAAAGAAGTAATAATCCTCGCCGCCAGTTTAATCTGATTCCTCCCGAACCTAAACTGGAGATGTATAAAAATGGACCATTATACCGATCCATAATGATATATAATAAAATTCCCGTTATTATTGAAACAGAATCTAATATAAACATATTTAAGAATAGCTATTCTTAAGCTGCAAGGCAGCGCCATCTCTTCGCATTATAGGTAAACCCACAATGTCAAATTAATACTTTTACAAGTATTAAACATTTGAAAGAAGAAATAGCAATTATAGTAATAATTTTTATTATTTTTAAAGCATGTAACTGCTTGATGTTTAAATCTAAAGAAAATATAACTAGAAAAAATTCCACGCGGACCAGGCAGCAGACGGGACTCGAACCCGCACCCTTCGCAATCCGGGCGAATGCACTGACCAATTATGCTACCGCGGCCCTCACGGACCGCGTCGAAATTCTTTCTAGCTATTCTTAAGCTGCAAGGCAGCGCCATCTCTTCGCATTATAGGTAAACCCACAATGTCAAATTAATACTTTTACAAGTATTAAACATTTGAAAGAAGAAATAGCAATTATAGTAATAATTTTTATTATTTTTAAAGCATGTAACTGCTTGATGTTTAAATCTAAAGAAAATATAACTAGAAAAAATTCCACGCGGACCAGGCAGCAGACGGGACTCGAACCCGCACCCTTCGCAATCCGGGCGAATGCACTGACCAATTATGCTACCGCGGCCCTCACGGACCGCGTCGAAATTCTTTCTAGCTATTCTTAAGCTGCAAGGCAGCGCCATCTCTTCGCATTATAGGTAAACCCACAATGTCAAATTAATACTTTTACAAGTATTAAACATTTGAAAGAAGAAATAGCAATTATAGTAATAATTTTTATTATTTTTAAAGCATGTAACTGCTTGATGTTTAAATCTAAATGGAATGGAACCGCGTGGAATTTTTTCTAGTTATATTTTCTTTAGATTTAAACATCAAGCAGTTACATGCTTTAAAAATAATAAAAATTATTACTATAATTGCTATTTCTTCTTTCAAATGTTTAATACTTGTAAAAGTATTAATTTGACATTGTGGGTTTACCTATAATACGAAGAGATGGCGCTGCCTTGCAGCTTAAGAATAGCTAGAAAGAATTTCGACGCGGTCCGTGAGGGCCGCGGTAGCATAATTGGTCAGTGCATTCGCCCGGATTGCGAAGGGTGCGGGTTCGAGTCCCGTCTGCTGCCTGGTCCGCCTGGAATTTTTTCTAGTTATATTTTCTTTAGATTTAAACATCAAGCAGTTACATGCTTTAAAAATAATAAAAATTATTACTATATTTAAGAATAAATTGAAACAGCATCTTATAAAAAAAGCGTATTATTCTGTTGATGAATTTATGAATGAAAAATAAATGTAATTTAATTTAACTTAATTATGCTTGACCTGTTTGTTTGATTTGATTTAGTTTAACTTAATTATGTTTGACCTATTAATTTGATATAATGTGATTTAACTTGATAAGATATGATTTTGATTTGACTATGATGATATGATATGATTATGATGACATGATATGATATAAATTGACTTGATTAATTTTTAAAATGGATTGATTTTGTTTAAATTTGGTTGGACCTGATGTGATTTGATATGACCAGCAATTAAGTGAAAATAATGTATTTAATGTTAAGCTCAAGTTTGTTGCAACACCCCAACGGGGTCATGTACCACTCACTATTAAGTATATATAAGACCTTATAATAAATAATGTACATGAGCAATGTGATATAAATAAATAAATAAATAACTAAAAAAGTACTTATTGATACATTGTATAGTTATTGCTTATACAAAATAATAATAACAATAATGTGTTCTCATTTCTGTAAAATTTCTTTCAAGGATTTTTTTAATATTTGTATGCTAACATTCTTATTTTTTCTTACCCACTCTAATTTGTTTAGAATTTTTGGTATTATATATTTATTTATTCTCATCCCATTACTATTTTTAACTTTATGTATAATAAACTTCCTTCCCCTAATACTACTTGTATTATACCTATTGACAACGAGGGGTCTATCCCACAAATTATAATAATTTTCTTTTACTACACTTCGGGGCACATCTATTGGCCCACCTTGTATTTTCAGTTTCGTTTGGTCCTAGCTAAAAATTTATATTAGGTCGAGCAAAAAGTTTTATGCAGTTTTGAACCTGGCACATTCACAATTTCATTCAATAGTCTTTTTTTGAATTTCGAACACAGAATTTAAAGAAACAAAAGACAATTTGGAGCCTGTTTGTTGATATCAAACAATCGAATACTAAGAAAACTTGGTTTTATTGGTTTATTTGGATTTAATTCTTGAAAAAGTGATTGATATTTTTGGTTTTGCAACAAACATTACTTATTCTTAACATTAAGGTGAGGTTCTATCAATAATCTATGGATACTTCACCTGAAGTCGCCGCCCAAGCTGTGGCACTTATTCAGGCCGGATACAGCCAAAGAAACGTGAGTGCTCAACTTAATTTAAGTCGATCTGCGGTCCGAAATGTTTATCGGAGGTACCTAGAGACTGGCAGCTTTGTTCGTCGCCAAGGAAGGCCACGATCTCGGGTCACAACTGAAAGGCAGGATCGATTCATCGTGACGACCAGCTTGAGAAATCGTCACCTTACCTCCATTGAGATACAAAAACAAATTCGCGACTTCCACGGAGTATCTGTGAGCGCTCGAACTGTTCGGAGAAGGTTAAAAGAACGCGATATGGTACCACACAAGCCAGCCAATGGGCCCAAACTAACGCGAGCCCACCGAACAGCGCGCCTTCATTTCGCACGCAGTCATTTAAACTGGACGCAGCAAGATTGGAGTCGTGTACTCTTTTCTGATGAGTCTAAAATTGTGTTACATGGCAATGATGGAAGGAAGAAGGTCTACCGACATAAGGGAGAGCGTTTCGCACAATGCTGCTTTGAAGAGAGGGTTGCTTATGGCGGTGGCTCATGGACTGTCTGGGACGGTATATCCGCGAGCGGCAAAACTCAACTTGAGGTTATAATTTTTATTATTTTTAAAGCATGTAACTGCTTGATGTTTAAATCTAAAGAAAATATAACTAGAAAAAATTCTTTAGATTTAAACATCAAGCAGTTACATGCTTTAAAAATAATAAAAATTATAACTATAATTGCTATTTCTTCTTTCAAATGTTTAATACTTGTAAAAGTATTCATCTGACATTGTGGGTTTACCTATAATGCGAAGAGATGGCGCTGCCTTGCAGCTTAAGAATAGCTAGAAGGAATTTCGACGCGGTCCGTGAGGGCCGCGGTAGCATAATTGGTCAGTGCATTCGCCCGGATTGCGAAGGGTGCGGGTTCGAGTCCCGTCTGCTGCCTGGTCCGCGTGGAATTTTTTCTAGTTATATTTTCTTTAGATTTAAACATCAAGCAGTTACATGCTTTAAAAATAATAAAAATTATAACTATAATTGCTATTTCTTCTTTCAAATGTTTAATACTTGTAAAAGTATTCATCTGACATTGTGGGTTTACCTATAATGCGAAGAGATGGCGCTGCCTTGCAGCTTAAGAATAGCTAGAAGGAATTTCGACGCGGTCCGTGAGGGCCGCGGTAGCATAATTGGTCAGTGCATTCGCCCGGATTGCGAAGGGTGCGGGTTCGAGTCCCGTCTGCTGCCTGGTCCGCGTGGAATTTTTTCTAGTTATA